GCCAAAATATTTTTAAAAATTTATTTTGAGCTAAGTAAAGTCATAAATCAATACATGGAAGGTATATATTGGTTTGGCTTAAAAAAGGGGGGTACATCTTGAAGCAGGGGCTTATAAGTCATAGGTGGGTTTAGGAATTCTTTAGTGGGCAACTGCTTGCAAAAGTTAAGTTTTTGCATTTTGTTTTTTTGAGATGGAATTTCGCTTGTTACCCAGGCTGGAGTGCAATGGCGCGATCTCGGCTCACCGCAACCTCCGCCTCCTGGGTTCAAGCGATTCTCTTGCCTCAGCCTCCCAAGTAGCTGGAACTACAGGCATGCGCCAATATGCCCAGCTAATTTTTTTGTATTTTTAGTAGAGACGGGGTTTCATCATGTTGACCAGGATGGTCTCCATCTCTTGACCTCGTGATCCACCCACCTCGGCCTCCCAAAGTGCTGGGATTATAGGCGTGAGCCACCGTGCGCAGCCTGCAAAAGTTTAGTTTTGTATAGAAACTTAGAGTTGACAGAAAGTAATGTTCAAGTTAAGATAAGGGAGTCTGGTATCTGTCATGTGATGTCATACCAGAGTCAGGTTGGAAAGTAAGTCACAATATTTTAGGTCAAAAAGACCAGTTTAGCAAGATTTTATGATTTGTAGAAGTGACTTTCCTGAGACCCCTTATGAAGAAATTTGAGCAAGCAAAAAGGACAACGTTCACTCTTCACGCCTAAATATTCCCTTTTTTCATGCACATGTGAGGATCACGTGTTGTAATATTGCATGAAACTATCCCATTTTGGGGTGTTTGTTTCTTCTTGCCCTAGAGTTCAAACCAGCTCTGTCTCAAAATAGTCTTATTACTTTTATGGCTCAGGGTCTGACATTTTCCAAGATACATTTAGGTAAGAGCTGCATATATCTTCTCACAAGTAGTAATAAATTTGGGGGTTTGGTATTAGATTTGGGTTTTGAAATTGGTTGTGAATGAGTGCTGAAAGTGTAGCTTTAGCATTGGCAATAGGCTACTCTAACTCCAGGAGGCATTTGGTTCCTTAAGCTCTATGAGCTGGACAGAGCTGTCATTGAAACAATAGATGCTGGAGAGATTTTGGGGACTGCTGCAGGGCTGCATTCTCAGAAGAAAATGGAGTCTTCTAAGATCACGGAGAAAAATGTCTGGAAGTAAAAGTGAAACTTTTATATGATGTTAAGAAATTATTTTTATTAGGAATCATAACATTTTCATTTTTTCTTTATTTGTCAAATTTAGGTACAAAATTTCTACAGAGTTAACAACGTGAATTTTTATGTTTACTTTAAAATTTTACCCAAAAAACTGGAGTTAATAGTTGAAAATGAAAGATAGAATAATGATGCCTGAAGTCCTGTGATGGGGACTTACGATGGGTTTTATTAATTTCTAGGATATTAAGATTAAGATTTTTAATTTCCATCAGTTTTAAAAAAATAAAAATTTTTGGCCGGGCGCGGTGGCTCAAGCTTGTAATCCCAGCACTTTGGGAGGCCGAGGCGGGTGGATCACGAGGTCAAGAGATCGAGACCATCCTGGTCAACATAGTGAAACCCTGTCTCTACTAAAAATACAAAACATTAGCTGGGCATGGTGGCACGTGCCTGTAATCCTAGCTACTCAGGAGGCTGCGGCAGGAGAATTGCCTGAACCCGGGAGGCGGAGGTTGCGGTGAGCCGAGATCGCGCCATTGCACTCCAGCCTGGGTAACGAGCAAAACTCCGTCTAAAAAAAAAAAAAAAAAAAAAAAATTTTTTAATGAACACTTTCAAACACTGAACATTATCTATGTTGTATAATCAAAAAAGGCATATATCTTCTCACAAATAGTAATAAATTTGGGGGTTTGGTATTAGATTTGGGTTTTGAAATTGGTTGTGAATGAGTGCTGAAAGTGTAGCTTTAGCATTGGCAATAGGCTACTCTAACTCCAGGAGGCATTTGGGCCCAGAGAAGTGGATCCACCCTCTGAATCTGAAATTGGGGCTGCCATGGACAAACCTCCCCTTCCACCTCCCCCCGACCCCTTCCTCCACTGGAGGCCCTAAGTTTGCATGGTGATGAAAAGGTTGTCAGGGTGGTAGAACTGGATCCTGGTCTGAACCCAGAAGATGATCTGGCCCAGTAGATGGAAGATGTGGACTTTTAGGAAGAAGAGGAGGAAGGGGGCAGTGAGGAGAGTTGGGTTCTGGAACCCCAGGAAGGGGTGGTCAGGTTGGCTACATGGACCCAGCGATTACAAGGTCACCTTTGCATTGCACTCCGTATCTGTCTTTTTGGTGAGCCTGGACCACCAAGACCACCACCTTGGCAGCAACAGGGGTGAAGATGACAGGAGGCTCAGGGATGGGGAGCTGCTTTTTGAATATGCAGGCCACAAAGACTCTGTGACTTGTGCTGGCTTCAGCCAAGTCTCCACCCTTGTGGCCACAGAAGCCATGAATGGCCTCTTGAAAGTGTGGCAGGTGGACACCAAGGAGGAGGTGTGGTCCTTTGAAGCGAGAGACCTGGAGTGAACATAGCAGTACCCTCTGGCACCTGTCTGACTGGTGTGCATGGCTGATGGCAACATCTGGATGTGGGAAGTCCCAAATGGTGACTGCAAGACCTTCTGGGGTCCCGAGTGCACAGCCACTTGTGGCGGAGTCCTGTCTGATAGGGAGAGAGCTGTAGTAGGCTATGCAAATGGCACCAGCAGGATATGGGACCCCAGGCAGGAAATACCCTCCATG